CCCAAACAGTTTCTTTCGAAACTATCAGCCTTTGTTTAAAATCAAAAGTTGTTTCGTTTCACGTTTAAAACGCATTTAAAAAGGAATCAACATTATAATTTAATACATATAAAAAGCTTTAAATCCTGCTTTGCTGTAAATTTCTTGGCCTTGCCATGCGCATAAAAATTATTTTGAGCGAAATCATTCCGTTTTATCCCAACTAAATGCCAGGTTATCTTTTCTTTTATCTCTGTTTGTCAAACAGGTTTGCATTACACGAATGCTATTAATTTCAACCCTCTCGCAGAGAATTCAAAACTTTATCTCAGAATATCGTTCAGGTAACTGTAAAAACATTTATTATATAAGAAAAACCTTTTCAGAAGTTGACAAATCCCTTCTTTCCCGCCTGCCATCAATGCGTTCGGGAAATGTGATGTGATAGTCACTTTGATAGGCCTCGTCTGTAATTACAAACTTTCTTTGTTAGAGGATTTAAAAAAAAAAACAGAAAGTCAATAATACAGCTTATTAAAATCTGCCTTACGTTTCGATATCATCATTATATCTCTTTCAAGTAGAAGGAAGGGTGCTCACCTGCAAACTGAGTGCTTGTGGTGTGTAAGAGGAACCATAATGTACAGATGACCAGCCAACTACCCACTTTCATCAGCAGCATCTTCCTCTATTTAACGTTAGAAACTCATATCATGAAAACAAATATGTTTTGTCAAGTTTTTAACTATGGTTCCCTCCTTGTATAGCCAATGAAAAGCTCGTATGACTTTAAAAGAATGTATTTACAAAAAAGATAATAGGCTTTCGTCGAGATATTGTTCTCATTGTCGACGTTGTCAGGGTTGAGTTTGATTTTCCCATGGATATTATTCCTTTGTAAAGATGAATCATGAAGATAACATTATGAGAAATTCATGTTGTGCGGGATGCTTTTAAGGCGAACAATATCTTTAAAAAATAATGATATTTGGTATAAATACCTCAGCTATTGAATTAAAAAACTTTGGTCGAGAATTATCGAAAAATTAACTGAAAAACTTTTAACCATGCAGTGAACAAATTCCAAACCTAACCTTCAGTTTCACTGCTGATAGTAGCATTAATTATAAAAACGATAAAACTGGATGCTTATAAATACATAGCAAAACATTTTTTTTTAAATTCTAAATAGTCTCGAGAGACAATTAATGAATGCCTTCACATCCGAAATATTACATATATTGTGAAAACGTTAGAGGTTATATATCGAAAAAGAAATTGTTTACGTAAAAAAACCTCAAAAACTTTTATTATGAAGACAAAAATAACACTGGTCGCCCTGAAATTTTGACGAAGGCCAGTTTTCTTGTTATCTAGTCTAACTATTCGTACTGCTATTTCCTTAACCGCCATCGAGCCTTGAGAATTTAATGTAGATAATCATTGAACCTTAAAAGAGCACAGAAAATGTGGTTGGATTAAACTGCGAAGCTTTTGCATGATGTGCTCTTTGGTTTAGCAAATATAGGATTTAAAGATCTCTGGACTTAAATGACTTTAAAACTGTTTATCGGGAACCAGCCAGCAAGAACTGAGAACCCTACATAACTTCGCACAATGTTCACGATGTGGCTTATTTGAAACAAAATATGTAAAGTATATTGCGGCTTTAGTAAGGCACTTCACGTTTCTCCTATCAAACTGATAGATTTATAGAATGTGCACAGAATTGCTATCTTTTACAATAAACTGATTTTTCCCTTCTGAGAAGTCATTCAGTTGTGAAGAAATAAGAAGAAATAAAAAATATAGTGGTCATATATCTCACCTGCAAATGTGCTTCTTTCAGAGCCTAATAACACTTAGCTTGTCCAACTAGTGTAACAGCTGTCGAGCAGATGACTCCAGAAAAAGACACAATTACAACTAATATTAGTACGTCGGTAAAAAGACGTGTTTTTAGTGTTGATTTAGCTGTTCGATTTCAGATTATGAAACAAAGATATCTTACAAAGGCGGATGTTATTTTTCCATATCTGAATGCATTTGATGACACTCGTTGGAAAACAGAGGCTTGATTTTTTTCCGTGTAAGTTGAGTTTGACAAAGATTTCAAGATAAGCTAATTTTCTTCATTCTTGTGCTACTTTACAAAATTAACGCCTTTACTTTAACCAACTTAAGCTTGCAAACTTCTCGCTAATTCTAAAAAAAAGATGTGATCCCAACAGCAGACTGTTTACTCAGTCTCGTATCATTGGCTTAAGAAAAGATGTCACTTTTGAGCTTTATCTTTAAACAAACTTTCATAACGCCATATTCTCTCCCAGAGATGTCCATATAAGGATTTGTACGTCGTTATGTTGAAAACAGCTTATTATAAAGCAAAATCATGGATGAACAAAGTGTTTTTGACTCATTTGCAACGGGTTTCCTCTACTTCAAAGCTGGCAAATAGTTGACGCTCTCCTGTACAGCGTTGCATTTCTTTTAAAATACATGGCATGCACGGCGAAAACGATTTTCAACCGGAATTTAATGTTTGTCAGTAATGTGGCGATATGTTTGAGTAGAGCATATTGTTATTCATAATCTATGACATATATAGTAATGTTCATAAAGTATTATGATGATATCTGGTTTCGCCCCATTGAAAGTTTGCCCCCCTCCACCATTGTGAGTCCCCCCCTGGGGTAAATCTAGTTCGCCCCACCTTTGCCAGTTTGCCCCCAAATATTTCAACGCGTTTCCTTACGGCAGAGCATAATCCTTTGTCCCATACGACATATACGTACGAATATTAAACGACGAAATACGTTTGATAATTACTGCTCAAGATCATTTGTTAGCTTCCAAAGGAGCCGTTTTTTTTCGTGATAATTATTGTGAAAATGCACATAAAAGTGTGTCAAACCAGCCAGGCAAAGACCGGAATAATGAGGCGACTTAACATAAGAGAGATTTAGCGCCGCGTTCGCGTGAAACGGCAAACGTCAGCTCGCCCTTTCATGCTTCACATCATGGTGGATTTGATGGTGCAATTGTATGAGTTACAGTTATCTTCTACTACGTGAGAGAAAAAGGGAAGAAAATCTTATGTACATGGCAAACGCGATCAGGTTACTTTCACGTAGAAACGGCAAAGTGCAACCGGCAAACGTGAGAAAATGGCGGGAAAACGAGGTCACGTGGTAACTCTAGCCGTTTACGTTTCACGTAATCGCGGTGCTAAATCTCTCTATTATTCGTTCAATAGTCATGCGTTAGTTAACGCGCCAAATGATTTGTATGTTGACAGAACGTTATTGTTCAGCTGTGAAATTGTCAGTTGATCGAAATGTTCTACCGATCTTGACAGTAAAGGAATATGTTCAGCCACAAGAAAACAAGTTCAAACATTTGGGGGCGACCTGATAAAGTGGAGGGAGAACTTGTTGTACTCCAGGGAGGAACGAACCCGCTGAGGTGGAGGAGGTGAACTTGCAATGGGGCGAAACCTCCATAACTGGTATGCTATATACTCTTCATTGCAATAAAGTTGCCATAGAAAAACATAACAACAACAAAAGCAAAAAAGAAAAAAGCCAAATGGGAATTAAGTAACTTATACATGAAACCACCCTCTGGCTATATGCCCCAAACAATTTTCACAGAATTTCTACCGAGAAAACTCTCTCAAACTTTTTGAGAGTATCAGATAATTATGCTGTTGCATTTGCTTAAGAAATATGCTAATTAATTTATCTTTTCTTTTTCCCTATTTTCTATGACAATTTTAAAGCAGTTATAGTTGTATGTCCATGGCATTTCCTATAGTAGCGTAACTACTTAATTCATTTGGTATTTTTCTTTATCCCGAAAGTGACCAAGAAAGTATGGTAAACGACCCGTCATAAATGTGTCTGAGAACAATGAAAATATATTAAATTTTTTTAAATTAATTAAAAGGATTTTATTTACATTTCTGTTAACCGTAGCAGAAAACAATTAACCGTTAGCGGTAAAAGCCATCACCCTATCAAAATCCTCTTATTTCCCTCAACAGAATAGAGGTCGCATATGCCTATTTCACCTCAAATTGAAATTTGAATTCCACCCTATCTTTTTACTGTTTGTAATTATTTTCATCCTGTTTCTCTCTTCTAATTCTCAGATAACGGAGAGCTTGATGGTATTGAACGGTACGGTATGGTACAGTATCGTGTGGTAACGTCATGTAGCCATGAAATGTAGAGAGCCGTTCCATATCTTGGAGTTTCGTAACTGTGGTAACGAGATTATTCTAACAATCCAAGACCCTTAAAGAAAAGAACTGTTCATAAATTCTATGAAGCGAGCCTTGTATTTTTTTCCACATTTATCGAAAGCTTCACCCTTTTCACAAATGATGAAAAGGAAATTGCAGTTATCCTGCGTGGCTTTTTGTAAGTAAATTATTAAAGATGAAAATAATACTTGTAAGTAGCTAATAATTAGGCGATGCGAGAACAGCATTAGAGCAAAATGTCTTCAGGGATTGATAGCACATGCAAGTTTTTATTCAATGCCAATAATTTGACAGACTTATTTCAATCAAGTTGACTTAAAACGATCTGAAAATTGAAGAAGGCGCACAATTTATTTAACTCTCTTGTAACACACATGCAAATTATTTTTGCTGGAATCTTTTAGCATTGCTTCACTTAATGAGAGAGCTGAAAATGTAGGTCTTCTAAAAAGTGTTTCGCCTCAAAATAGAACGCATATAGAAAGCTACACCATGAAAAATAAAATGTCCTGGAAATTTAAAGAGAACACTTAACACACGCTATTGACAAAAAAACAAAAGTATATCGAACAAAGCATCTCCAGGAAGTAACCTAAAGCCAACACTACTAGATACAGTCCCAAGTCATGGAGATATTTTTCCGTCAAGAAATAGAACGAGTTACGAAGTGACATTAGATCGAAAGTGGGCACTAATAAATGAAAAATGAAATTCGATCACCTTGTTTTGACTGATTAGGGATTTTAAGTATTGCCTCCTTTTGTCTTTTATTATGTATATTTTCAGTATTTAGTATTTATTGTTCTAATCTGTTGAATTTTGTACATTTTAAGTGTGCAACCTTTAGTATATACCTAGACCGTGCATTACCTGTAAACTAGCTGATTAAGCAAAGCATAAAATCCATGTTAAATATAGATATCGTAGCTATGGACATTTCAGCTAGCGTCGTCACAGTTAGCGTCGTCACAGTTAGCGTCGTCACAGTTAGCGTCGTCATTTAAAAATAATGAGACAGTAAGGTTGTAGCGTGGAGGCGCGGTGGCCTCATGGTTAGTGCGCTCGACTCCGGATCGCATGGTCCGGGTTCGAGCCCGGGACAGTGCCTCTCTTCACCCAGGTGTATAAATGGGTACCGGCAATTTAATGCTGAGGGTAACCCTGCGATGGACTAGCATCCCAACCAGGGGGGAGTAGAAATACTCCCAGTCGCTTCATGCTACAGAAACCGGAGTTATGCACCGCCCTAATGGGCCACTAGGCTCTTAAACAGACTTTACTTAAGGTTGTGGCGGACTCATAAGAAACGCTTTTCCAAACACAAGGCTGCATTTTCACACTAAAGAACTAAATGTTTTTACTTAACTATGCAGGTAGGCCCTTTTTCACGCTTTGTTCCTCTTACTCGAAGATAACTTTTCAACCTGAATGATTTTCTATCGTTTCACATGACTGTTTGAATCTTCAGATGTTCGGCCTCTTTTCATGCTTCCTCCCCTCACCAAATGAATCAAACGTAGATTTTTACCGTGGACAATTTTTTATCCCATCAAAATACTGTTTAAATGTTCAAAATTTACCCTTCTTTTCACGTTTTCTCTCCCGTACTCTAAATGAATCAAACCCATAGCCTTTAAACGTGAAGGATGTTTAACCTCTCACAATACTGTTAGTTTCTTCAGATGTGACGCCTCGCTCTTTTTATGCTTTCTTTCCCCTACCTCAAATGAATAAAAAAATAGCCTTTCCACATAAAAAAATTTAAATCCTCTCACGAAACTTTTTTTTAAATCTCTAGATGGGCAAAACGACTATGCTTACCACCTCACACCAATACCTTCGTACACGAGTCGACCAACCTGACACTGGGTTTGTTAAAAGCCCCCTGAAGTATACTTCTTTACAAGAACCAGGAACTTTGTACGGTC